CTTTACTTGATAGTAACCTGAACACAAGTTTATTTTAGAGAAGACTTGGGCACCCTACAACTGGTCAAAAAGGTCATCGATCCTGGGGAGGGGGTACTTGTTCTTGATGGTGACTTTGTTCTATCCCCTGTAGTTAATACATAACCTTAACATCCCATCCCATTTCCTTACAAATATGACTTTAGCACCCCAAAGGGACATACTATGTCAGATGAACCCATTATCCTATAATTCATTGATATGTTTTCTCAACTCTTCTATCTCAACACGACTAATACGGTAAGGGGCAACCGAGATAGGCTGGGTGTCAGGCTAAATATCTATGGTGAACTCAACTTCTTTGTCCACTAGCAGTTTGAGTAGTTTATCAAGAAACACATCCGAAAAGTTTCGGACTATTAGGATCTTTTGAATGCAAATTTTTTTCTTAAGTTTGCCTAGTGTAGAGAAAACAACCGAGTTAAAGCACTTTGTAATAAGAAAATTCCCATGAGGGAATAATATTTAAAATTTTTATTAACTTGTAAATGACTCTTCATTAGGAGGGTTGAATACAAGTTTCTTGTGGAAATAATCTACGGTGGCATGATATGCCGCTAACCAGTTCATTACTAAGATTACATCGAAGTTTTTCTTGTCAATCTCTATTAGGTCCACACTCAATTTTCCATCTGCTATGTCTATGATACAAACTTTGTATATAACCTCCTCTAATAATGTCCTACTCACAAGAATAGACACAAATAACACAGAATCAAGTTTTTCAGGTAATACATTTAAGTTTGGTGTAAAAGTATGTGAGACAAATGAATGTGGAACACCAGTATCAATCAAAATATGTACAAGATAATTACAGATAGTGTACCGTATCCTGTATCACATCTGGGTTGGCTTCAGCATCTTGCTGAGTGAGGTTGTAAGCTCTGTCCTAGATATGAGGTTTGACTTGGTTATGATTTCGCGGGCACTCTCTCGCGTAGTGTTAGACACTCTCACATATGCAGCATGTATTATTGAAATGATAGCAGGGTCGGACCCCATGATCCTTACCACAGTACTAGCAAGTCCTACCGCGTCCTGTTATTGGAGCTTGAGGATGAGCCTAAGTCATCAGCCTAGATTTCTTGTTTTGTTGAACTAGTACAGTAGGTGCTGGTCTGCAGTGTGAAACTAGGAGTTTGGGATTCCCCTATACTGAAAAAAAGATGTGAAGGTTCCTCTCCACTAACTGTGCCTTGGCTAGAATGGCTGAGTAAGTACTGAGTTTAATACGTATAACTACTGTCTAGTATCAGGACGGAGGCCCCACTCGAACTTTTTTACATTCCTGACTTTATCCATTATGCTCTCAGAGGAATACTGGCCCAACTCTAGGAACCTTCGCGCATACTCCGACACAGTTATATCACTCTAGACTAGGTATGCAAACTTTATTTTCTTCAAATACCGGAGGTGCTTTGGGAGGTACTCTACATTGAAGGCCATCAGGAACTGTTCCAAAGTGATTGGAACGGGCAGGGTGGCCTACTTGAGCTATCACCAACGATTTGCCTCTCCCACAAGTATATAGGTAGCAAATACAACTTTCTGTATGGGAACCGCCCCAAGAGTCGCAAAGACCTTCTTTATCTCAGGTAACCATTACTCTGCCTCTTCAAAAGAGAATGCCTTTGTAAAGGTATATGAGTTTAGTCTTTTGTACATTTCAATGTAGCCTGGGTCCATCATGGATGGAACTAGATCCTATGGAAGAGGGACTTGATTGTGCTGGGGAGGGACCGGGTGGCCCTGTGGTGGTGCCGGATGATACGGTAGAGGCAATGAATTGTACAATAGCAGTATTAGATGATGCCATGGAGGCACCAGATTATACTGTGGTGGTGCCGAATGGTACGGTGGAGGAGCAAAGTTGTACTGGGTGGCTCTAAATCTTCTCGGTGTAAGGGTGGCTCAAACTGTGGCAATGGAGGGAGGATCAGGTAGCTCCCTCCTTTCCTCTTGGGCCTGCTGGGTAGAGATGAGTCTCTCCAACATTTCAAAGAGTCGATCAACATCCTCTCGAAGTGAACAATCTTGGTTGCTCAGTTTAGTGGGGGCTTTCCTCTCCTCATATCTCTGTACCTACATTTTATAAGAAAGGTTTGAGTGATAGTTCGTATTTGGTGTTTTTAAGTCTTTGTGTAAGGAATGGTTCTGAGGAATACGACTCTGATACCAACTATAAAGGTCTGGAATCTTAAAAGAAATAAATTTATAATTTAAATACAGAAGTGAATAATAGAGTTAGGGTTTACGTTCCTTATACAATAATTTAGAACGCCCAATATGGTTACGAGAATATCCCTTCTAAAAGTCAAATGATAATTAAAAAAAAAATGAATAAATAAGCATTCTAGGACAACCTTCACTATCACTTGAAAAAAGTTCGGGTTGTGAACTATTCAAAACTCTCTTATTGATCGGGATCTGGATCTTGGTATTCTTGATCTAAAATGATTAATGAAAAGGTGAGTTACATTAGCCTAGTAAGAATATTACACAAATCACAAATATAGAAAACTGAAGATTGGTAAAAATAAGAAAAACAACTAATATATCCCTTACTTTAATTAAATACATTTAATATAAAGACGTTTATTTGATGCATAACATTACGAGTTTTCTAAAAACAACCTATGAGAACTCATATCTATACCACTTTTCATTTTCACACATAAGAGAATAAACGACGATAATTTTCCTTACTTACTTACTGGTACTCCTTGGGACCCATAGGGATGTCCCCCTACTCGTGAACTTAATATCAAATTTTAACAATTAACCGACCGTCCTCATACCCCATCTGGTAATGGGCGCCAAATATTTCATTGCTTCGATACCTTGTTTGGTATAAAGGTTAACCATATCTCCTAAACCTTTTCGTTATGGGACTTTTCAGTTTCATCCGACTGATGTGATGTTCACGATAGGGTTCCTTATGTACCGGGCCCGTATGCCCTTTTTCTAGGTACTCAATAAGTCTTTCACACTAAGATTCTCATCAAGTAAAACAATCAACAAACGTATATCAAAATCCTATATTATATTTGCATATCAATTAAACTATCTTTATACAGATGATGTAACTTATCATAACAAGAGATCGAGTAACTAGATAACCAAATAAACTAGATAAATCGATAAGATTATTGAAACTATAAATTAAAAACATGCACTATACAATAACAAATATGACAGTATAGAAAAATAAATAGGAAATTAGGACTATTATGAACTAATCGGTTCTGGCTCCCATAGTGCTATGTAATTATTTTTAGAGTTTTCTAACTTTTCACAAAAATACAAAATTATACATTGTTAAGCCTCAATTTACCATAACGGGGAATAGAGTGAGGGATCCTTAACTGAATTGGTGTTGTGAGAAGTCGCACTATCTACTACGCCTCTTAACGGATCGGATTTTCTGAATTTTTCTACGGAATCCAAAATACTTGTCACGTACCTAAAAATACTCTAAAAATCTAAAATCGATGCCCAAAACTCTTTTCGACCAATTTTTGGGGTTCCAGCACGGCATTGCCGCAGTGCTCTAGCACCTACTTCGTCACCCACGGTAGCAGTTTGCTCCAGCTTGACCGGTTTTGACCAGTTTTACACGTATCCCTGTAAAAAAACATGTTAGAGGGTCTTGGTTGGCCAAAAAATCACAAAAATCGAACCTACCGACCAGGGGGCCCTTTGAGTGCAGCGGCTCCATTGGTCCTCATTCGCGGCTGGGATTCCTTCTTTGGCTAATCTACACAGAAAAGAACGGTGAACATAATGATCGAAAAATCGCGTGAAACGGAAAACAAGAAGGGGCTCATTGGAGTAATTTTTAAGTTTTGGCCGCTGCGGCTCCGTCGGACTTTGCCCGTAATTTTCGTCTCACCCATCGTCCCTCTTATTTTGATTTGGCCACAAGGATGCTCAGAATCGAATTTCGAGTAGGTAGAAATTTTTTTTACCTTTATTGGCGGCCGGCGGTGGCTCCGGTGCGACGGTGTTCAGCGGTCGGCCTCCTTCTACCGCGCTTGGTTCTTCTTCTCTGGCAGGGGTTGGTGGCTAGGGTTTGGGCTCCCATGCGAAGTGAAGTATTTATACTTATCCTGCGTCGATCTGAGCCTTTCGTCGCGATTGATCTCGTCTGTCTGATTGCGCATAAAGAAAAAACGAATCTGAACTATCCATCGCAATTGAGCTCGGCCGTCCGATCACACCTAAGGGAAAAATAAATCTAGAGCATCTACGTGCGTGTCCAATCGTGGGGCACGCAGATTGTCTGCATGGCCCCAACAGCGTATCTTGCCACGCGGCGTGCTCCGGTTCGTCAAGACTACTAACTGGGCAGTCCTACGTGGTCGAACTTTCTTTATTTGTACTTTAACTCCCTATTTGTAATTTTTTAAAAAAATACTATCCGAACTTAAATTTTTTCTTATTTTTTCTAAAATTATTTTCGATTAAATTTCTAACTTATTTTTTTTAATAATTTAATAAAATTAAATTAATTACCAAAATTGATTATGGATCAATTTCGGGTCTGAGTATTATATACTATTTGTGAATTTATTACAAATTAACAATAGTCGGTTTATAATACTTGATTCAGAGACATTAAAAATTTAATTTATTAATATTATTAAAATTACGGTAATTAAATTGAGTTTAATTTTTACAAATCACTATATATGTAGATTATATATATAGATAAAAAAATATTTTATAATGATTAAAAGTTTTAGATTGAGTAACCCTTTTTGGAAAAAAAAAAAAAAGACATCTACACGTGACGTGACTATATGATTAGAAAAAGAACTTTTAAGATAAGGAGAAGCATGTAAGTGTGAAAAACTTTATTCGTGGTAATATTTTCTGTTAGTCATGTCCTTTTTGGTCTTTTCAGCTCTACGGTAGGCCTACTCGTCCTTTATATAAGGGAATACTACCAGCTAGGGAGGTCATCAAAATCAGAGCAGCAAACGGGAAGAGGATAATATTCAGAGAGAGAAACACAGAAAAGGAAAAGAAAATGGAGCCCGGAATTGTGATCGGTGGTTTGCAGGACGTCGAGGGAGATGCTAACAATCTTGAATACCAGGAACTTGCTCGGTTCGCCGTCGATGAGCACAACAAGAAAACTGTAATTACTCCTCTTTCTTCTATTTTTTCTTCCTGTTCTCTGTTTGTTTCCCTAGAAAATTTCTACTAGTGAATTAAAGTTATGTTGAAATTTAAGCATTTAATCATGTAGTTCGACGGAATAAACTATAAAATTACAACTCTATATATCGGCAAACAGAGAAGTTTTGTTGGCTTAATTAAAATCTTCAGCTGATAGATTATATATGTTTATGTACTTGTATACCTGCTTGTCCGAGATCTTCACCGGTTTCTTTTGTTCCTTTCGTCTGCAATTAGTTCGAGTGGTTTAGCTTATAGTCAATTCCTGTTGAGTAGAAAGGGAAATTGATAAACAATTAATCCATGAACAACCTAAGAAGGAGATAAGTTGCAGGCAACTTATCTGTGATTTCTCAATTTTATTGTAATTTGACATTATTGAAGTATCATAGTCCTGTGAACATAAGAAAAGATTTTGTCTAAATCTTTTTCCACAGAGGTAATCTTATGCTTACCATAGTCTACAGATTCTATGGCCAGTTCTGGTAACTATCAAATAAAAATGTGGATGAAGAAATCATGAAGGAAGATACTGAAGGTCTCTAGCCTATAAATAGATCTGTGATATTCTATGACGAATTCTTCATAGATAGAAAAGAAAAGATGCTCGTAGAAACATTTCTTATTGTTGTACACACATACAAAAACAAAATTTTGGTGATATAGATTTAGTTATTCTGTTGAGTTTGTATCAATACTTCCTGTAGATACAGGTTAGACAATCATAACAATCATAATAATCATAATCGTTAATTGTAAGTGATATAATTTAAGGGTTTGGTTTTTCTTGGTTCAGCTTTACTATAGCTATGTCTGAAATAAATTTATAAATGTCATAAAATTTATTTGCAAATTCATATCTATTTATAGTACAAATTATATTAGAATGAACAAAAGAACATTCTTTGGATAAAATTTCATATGATATTCAACATAAACTGGAAAATTTCACTATCATTTAGTTGAATTAAGTGTTCATCCTGTTGAAGGAGCGGAAACAGAAAACTGGATGGCTCTTGATATAGTCATTGCCCATCAGGGACATACATTGCCTCCCGGGTCAAGAAATTTTTCAATGGATTACACAGTTTAAGAATCCAAACTATAGAAAGGATTAACCTTAGTTTAGTTTATTAACAATATTATACGCTACACTGTCTTTATATCTAATTGGGCAACTGTATATCAATTTTTATCGGCTTTGAACATTTTGTGTTTCGACTTAAGATAATAAATTTGGAGATGGGCATGTTGCAGAATGCGATGCTCCAGTTCAAGAGGGTTGTGAATGTAAAGCAGGCAGTGGTTGAAGGCTTAAAGTACTGCATCACTTTGGAGGCTGTAGACGGTCACAAGACGAAGGTATATGAGGCCGAGATCTGGGTGAAGCTCTGGGAGAATTTCAGGAGCTTGGAGGGATTCAAGCTTCTTGGTGATGCTCATTAGCTCGGTAAAGAAGCAAATAACTACAGAGTATGATTGAAATAAATGAATTATTTTGAGTGAAGTTTATTTTCAAAATCTGTATTTTGATTAGCCGTGAGAGAATGAAATTTCAATATTAAAAACTGAAAATTTTTAACTCCAACAATTGTATTACTTTTGAAAATTTTTGGAGTTATATTTTCAGTTTTAAAGTTAAATTTTTATTCTCTCGTTACTATATCAAGTACAAATTCTGAAATAAAATTTCACAAGGGAAAAATTCATTTGTTTTAAAAATAACATGCTTATCGATATTCTATTTGTGTGTAGTTAAAAATGAGAGGTCTCATTTGAGATTTATATATGTCAGTATATTTATGTGTGTATCTACCTATATGTTTGTAAATGTTGAGGGGAAAATCATATGATATTTTTCCCACTTAGTAGTCATAAGATGTAACCGCTTTATATTATCTATTTGTGATTAGAAGCATAGATCATATATTCTCAAATTAACATATTTTATTCATTATGTAAAGATTCGAAACTTAAATGAAAATAAAGTTATAAATTAAATGTAAAAGGAAAATAATAAAGTTAGAGTTTATAGTTTTTACACAATAATTTAGAATAACTAATGGGGTTACGAGAATGTTCCTTCTAAAAGAGTAAACGAAAATTAAAGAAATAAACAAAAAGTAAATCACTAAACATCTTATAACGATCTTTACTAATTTTTGAAGGAAGTTTGGGTGGTAAACTATTCGCAACTTTCTTATTGATCGAGATCTAAATCTTAGTATTCTTGATTTGAAATAGTTAATGAAAGGATGAGTTACACTAACCAATTAAGAATATCACATTAATAATAGATATGAAAAACTGAAAATTGATAAAAATTAAAAAAATAATAAAT